AAGCACTTATTCTACTGAGCCATCTCCCCGGCCCCAAAAAAATTTTTTTAAAAGCAGGTAGAGAAGAGAAATATATCACTTTTAAAGGAAAGTCTATCAAAATTACAGAAGATTTCTCAGCACTAAACCTAAAATAAAGAGCTTGGAGTATAATGTTTCAAGTTTTAAAGGAAAATGATCTTTAAATCAGATTGTGGTATACCACAAAATTCTGTTTAAAACTTTTTTTTTTTTTTTGCGCAACTTGGGATTGAATTCAGGCCCTTGTGCTTGCCAGGGAAGTGCTCATTCCATTGAGCCATTATGTTTAAAACTTGATGAAGAAATAAGATATTTCCATGACAAAGTACAACTGAAGAAATTTATGACCACCCAACCAGCTACATAATCCTCTGAAAAACACATTAGAAAGAGATAATAATGAAAAATAGAAATGCAGGAACATCAATAGAAAGAAGCCATTAGGCAGAGCAAGCAATTAAAAAGAGCAGAAAAACAGAGAACAAATAACTGGGAAACAACATGAAAAAAAAGCCAATATATAACAGTTATAACCATCAATGTAAATGTTTCAACTCACCAATTAAAACAAATAGACTGGCACAATGGATAAAAAAGGCAATATCAAAAAAATATGTTGCATTCAAGAAACACATTTAATCAAAAAATAAATTCATACACTAAAAGTCAAGCAATGGAAAACAATTCTCCACATGACATACAGAAGCAAGGGTAGCTGTACTATTTGCAGACAATGCAAACTTCAAGCCATAACTGATCAAAAGAGACAAACAGGGTCACTATACACTTGTTAAGGGAAAACACCAAGAAAAAGAAATAAGATGAAAAAATAAGATACTTCCATGACAAAGTACAACTGAAGAAATTTATGACAATAAAAACAATCTATGCACCTAAAACAGGTTCAATCAACTATGTAAAACAAATACTAACTGACATGAAAAAACAAATAAATACACAATTGTAGTGAGGGACGTTAACACCCTACTCCCTCAAATAGATAGATCAACTAGACAAAAACCAACAAACAAATATTAAATTGAAACCAGCCCTGAGACAAATGGACTTGGTAGATGTCTAGAGAGTGTTCCACTCTAAAACAACAGAATATACATTCTTTGTTGAGGGACAAGCCCTATAGAGAAGCTGAAAACAGGAGAATCACTACCTGTCCTGGTGGATTGAGTGAGACCCTGTACCAAATACATAAAAAATAAATTTAAAATAAAGAATAAATATTAAATACTGGAGAGATCATGGACAAAAAAGAACCCATCTCCATTTATGGTAGGAATGAAGATAGGGAAAATCAATACAAAAGTCAGTATACAGATTCCCTAGGAAAAAGATTTGACTTCACATTTGAACCAGCTCTTCCTCTTCAGAGTATCCTCCCAGAACAATTTAAAATATCATTCTGAGTGATACATATGTACTTATGATTACAGCAGCACATTTTGTAATAGATAAATCTAGAAAACGACCTGGATATCCACAAACAGAAGAAAGGATAAAAAGATGTGGTAGTTTAAATTTTTTAAACTTTCTATTTTGAACAATACAAATATAGAAAAATACATTGGAAAAAACACAGAATTGAACTAAAGGAGATAGGAATACAAAATCACTTTTTATATTGCATATTATCTTCAAATTGTGTTCAGATTACCACAGGCAACTATGCGAAATTGGTTAAAAACAAATTATGAGTAATTAAAAAGGAAATAATTTAAGTATTACTTTCACCTCTCAACAGATGAATAGAAATCAGCAAAACAATTACAAAAGCTATCACGTATATATACATAAAAATTTCTTTTTCCCTTCACTCTTTCTTCTTTTTGTTCTTTACCTCATCCCACTCGTCCTTGCCTTTAAACAAAAGCTTTCATGGTATCTATGGTACCTTTAATTTTTTATTTACTGCTTCAGATACTTATAATAGAGAAACAGTGTGATGCTTGCATAAGTGGAGCTGATTTGTTCCACTTATGAGTATGGCCACTAGTAGCATCCACTTATCTAAAAATGCCTTGAGTTCTTCTTTCTTCCTAGCTGAATAATACTTCAATGCATAAAAGTATCACAACTTTTTAATCCTTTCTTCAGTTCATAGGCATTATGGTTATTTCCTAGATTTAGTTATGAACAACTGCTCTGCTATAATAATGGTTGCACATATATCACTGTGATATTTCAAGTCTTCTGACAAAATACCCAAGAGGAGAATATCTAGCTCTAATGGGACCTTCAATCTTAGTTTTTTTAAGAATCAACACAGAGCTCCATAACGGTTTTAACAATTTATGCTCCCACCAATAGAGGACAAGGATTTTTGCCGCTGCCCAGCCTCTACGCATTTGTTATTGCTTCACTACTCAATGATGGCAATACATTCTGGAGTGAAATGGAATCTCAGTTGCTTAAAAATTCACATTTCTTAAATGACCAGTAACAGTGAATA